TCTCTCTCTCTCTCTCTCTCTCTCTCTCTCTCTCTCTCTCTCTCCTCTCTCTCTCTCTCTCTCTCTCTCTCTCACACGAAGACACGAATATTCTGTCTTCTTAATCTCATATTCATTATATATTTGTTTTTTAATATATATATATATATATATATATATATATATATATATATATATATATCTATTATAATATATATATATATATATATATATATATATTTCAGAACAAATGGGGACCTCTGACAAGCCGCCGGCTTCCTGTCCTCGTCGAGGCCACTACAGTGATAGTAACCCTCAGGTAAATTCAGAGACATTTATTTTACTTACACGGCATCGTACTGTTCAGAAGCATCTCATCTCGCTGCTTCTATTGAATATAAAACATCCTTAAAAGCCTCGTTTAACACTTTTTTCACTCAGAAATTTGCAGCTTTACGAGGAAGAATGTCTATGGTCATTTATATCAACGGGCCCTAAATATCCCTAATGCTAGGATATTGCTTTATTTCCGCTATGGCAGCCTCATCATCCTTTGTCTCTATGTCCGTCTCTGTGGCTGTAATTTGACCATGTTTGTCACTGTATCGGTTTCTTTCTGTCAATGTCTGTATCTATCATCCTCAGTATTTGTCTGTCTTGTTTTCGTTATCTTTCTGTCCTTCCACCATATTCTCATTCTGGGTTTCTCTAGTGTACATATGTTCAAAGGTTACTCTAGTATATATACGTTCTAAGGTTACCTTAATATACTTTTGTTCCAGGTGTTACCCTAGTGTATATATGTTCTGGGGCTACCCTAGTGTACATATGTTCCAAGATTACCTATTAAGTTTCTCTGTACAGGATTACTTATGGATTAGCTGTTTTTCCTGATAATTACCTTACCTTACTCTTTTTTTCTAAAAGCTCCGGGGTTCTTCTGTGTATAAAACCAGTGTACACAGACAGTTGTATTGCAGGTGTTAGAAGTAAATTTTATTTATTTTATTAATTTAACTTCTATTTTAAATGTTATTATTTTTTTGTTTTTTACTTCTGCAGATTCCCTATATTTACATTTCAAAGGTAATGCGGATTTTTGTTTATTTTATGCTGCGTGAGTGTAACATCAGCTGGGTATGACTGCAGTACCTCCTTTCATGTAACAACAGGCTTTCTGTCCCGACAACAGAAATTAGAATGAACTATCTAGGCTAGAGTAGAGTTACTCTGGGAATACATACGAGTTAGAGCGACCATGGAAAATATAAACACTAGAGCTACCTTTTGATATATATACACAAGAGCAACCTAGACATATATAAAACCAAGAGTAACATTTGGAACATAAAAACCCAAATGATATTGGCCTTAATTAATAAAGCACAGCTCCACCCCCCTAAAACCAATAATTAAATTTGGCGGTAGGATTCTGTTTACATCACCATAGTAACCAGCGTTCCTCCAGCAAATCAAGTGAGACTCTTGCTCTGTACTTAGCCAATCAGAGACCACAGACGCCTGGGACTCTGCCAATCACGTCCGAGTGGCATCCTCCGCCGAGCCATCACAACAACACGTTTAGCCTTTGGACACGATGGCGGCGGTGAGTAATATTTCTTGTTATTTCCAGGAGTTGTAGTGCGTAATAACAACAATAATTTGTCAATTTATTATTTAAACGACCCACAGTGCAGTAAGGTATTTAAATGCGTAAACCTTATGATAAAGGTGTTAAGTAGCTTTGTATTGGTAAAACATTTTCAAAACTTTTTCTAGTGCATTTGATTAACGCGAGTCGGCCTATACCAGATTTAATGTATGCAAATGATAGAGGATTTAGTAGAATGATTGAGATTTATGTAGAATAATTGAAAATTTCAATGGTGTATGTGGTATGAATGTGGAAAAAAAAATCAGAATTAAGATCGGCAGTGCACACCACATGCTGATGTAGACCATCTCTTGTTAGTATAAGTATACACATACAATTCAAACTTCAGAGATGAATTTAATAACACCATGTACAAAAAGCTAGGAGATAGGTCTCAAAGGACCTAAATCAGTGTCTGTATGCATTGGTAAGTAAATATTCATAAATTGTTTTTTCTCGTAAGCCTTGGGGGTATGATATGTGGAAAACACTCCACCCCACTCTTAAGTCAGTGCAAACACTCCATGCAAATAAAAGGGCCCAGTCTTTGGAACTCGCTACCTGACGAATTAAAAAATTGTCCAACATCCCCTGTTCGAAAGTAAAACAAAAACGTAACTAATTTCATCCTCATAGTTTCCTACCTTGTGCTTCAAACTCACACGGTATCTTGTACTACCCACTTACATTGTAGTTATTTGTTGATATAAAACCTTGTGACAGTGTACATTTTCTTCTTTATGATGTGTTAGATTAAGGACTTGCCCAAAATGCTTTGCATATTAGTGGCTATTTATGAATGTAAAAATACCAGTTTTATGTAATCTCTAATCCATTGTACCTTCCTGCAAATAACTTATTATGATTACTAATTATTTTTTTTTAATTGCATTTTTAGTTTCCTTTGTTTATTTTTAGTTTTAGTTTTTCCTTCCTGCCCTTCTGCTTTTGTTAAGAGAGAGAAAAGTTTTTAAATATTTTGTAAATACTGTAGGCCATAATACAGTACTAATATTCTAGTAATACAGTATTTAAAATTACCTCTGTTTTTATACTTTGTATAATAATAGTAGTCCTTTATTTTTCTTGACAAGAAAAATAATCAGAATATAATTTGCTCTTCAATATTATCCATTAGATAAAGTAAATTGTCAGAGAAATTGGACCAATCCAGTAACAAGATAGTTGTTAACTAGGTTTTATTTTTTCAGGTCAGCTTAACGGCAGAAGAGCATGAGGTGACTAGGATAGAGCGCATTGGTGCTCACTCCCACATCCGTGGCTTAGGACTCACAGATGACCTTACAGCTAAACCATCGGCCCAGGGAATGGTTGGGCAAGTTAAGGTAGGACCTTTCCTCTTTGTTTGATCAAAAATAAATTTGTGGGTTTTGAAAGGGAGGGCAAACTCGAGCATATCATGTGAACTACTTTATTCTTAATAACGTGGGATAAAATTCATTAGAATTAAGAAGTGAGAAAAATTTAATAATATTAAGAGGTCTGAAACAAGTTGCCTAATTCCCACAAAGTAAATTTGTAATAAGAGGGATATAAACATTTGTGTCTTCAGTTGTGTTTGTTAGCCTTACAGAGCCTTACCGGTGAGATAAGAGCCCTAGATAGACCAGGTGAATTCTGGATAATAAGACAAATGTTTCACTATTACTTAACACCATGTTTTTTATAGTATTTTTATTTTTAAGACTGCATAAGGATAATTTCCGATTGTAAAATATTCAGTTTTTAATGTTATTTTGACCATATATTTGTTTAATGGTAGGCGAGACGTGCAGCAGGAGTAGTGCAGAACATGGTAAAGGAAGGCAAGCTGGCAGGCCAAGCCGTCCTCATTGCAGGCCAACCAGGAACAGGCAAAACTGCTATTGCTCTTGGCCTAGCCCAGTCCCTTGGACCAGACACTCCTTTCACAGCCATATCGGCTACAGAGATATACAGGTAATAAAATTGTTGGTAGTGTCAAAAACAAATAATTGAAATGCATCATAATTATTTCCCTGAATCATTGCTTGTTTGCTAATCCACCTGTTCCAAAATATTTGATCAGCCTGGACTGTGTCTTTCAGCAGGATATATTCTGAAGAAATTTAATGTTTACCATTTATAAATGTGACAAAGTTCTCCGAGCCATTAGTGCTTTATATTCTGTACATCATAATTTTTAATATTATCTTTCTTTCAAGGGTATCATCATTTTTAAATACTGTATCTATTTTACAACTGTAGATCGTATTAAGTACTGTAACCCTTTTATGATCGTCCGATGTTTTAATAGAAAGGGTTTGTGTTGATTTTTGTGTATGTTGTTTTATCATAAAACTAAGATTTCCTTATTTGGTATTGTAGTCCAATGAAAATTGTTTTAATGTTTATAATATCTAGTTTAAATATTAGTTGAGTTTGGCATAGGGATCTTGATCAATTAATCAAAATACAGGATATTGTTAGTGATTATTTCTGTGAAACGAGTTATTCTGCAACACACAGCTAAGCTGCCTGTTCTGCTGGGCACAGGAGCTGTTTTTAAATATATCCTTTTCTTAACTTTGTGGATGTGTTTTTCCACATGCTAACATTAACTTTCATAGATCTTTCAGTGAAACATTTTTGCAAGTGGAGATCTTTTGATCAATTTTGATGCCTTTGAAGCATTTATAATCAAATTGCAAATCATTACCCATTTGATAATTATTTATTGACCAGATTATAAAAGACTGGACCAAAAGGGTCAAGACTGTGTTGTTTTGGAATGAAGAGTGGAGCATGATGGTAAAAGAACGTTTTTTGAACAGTTTAGAGTATGGCTTTTATGAGTATATATTTATTTCTATATTTATTTATGCAATTTTAGAAAAATTGCTAATGTTGTGGGATATAGTATTTCTTACAACTATACTCCTCTGCAGTCTGGGCATGTCCAAGACTGAGGTTTTAACACAGGCTTTTCGGCGTTCTATCGGTGTGCGCATCAAAGAAGAAACCGAGATCATTGAGGGAGAAGTTGTTGAGGTGCAGATAGACCGCCCAGCCACAGGGACAGGCGCTAAAGTTGGCAAACTGACTCTCAAAACCTTGGAAATGGAAACTATATATGATCTTGGGAATAAGCTTATTGAAGCTCTTACTAAAGAAAAGGTGAGACATGTACTTTATATTGTTGGTATTCATTTAACATGTTGACATAAGTGTCTAAACACATTCTAATTTTATATTTTACTTGTAATCAATTTTTATTTAAGCTTAATACATTAATCTGCTTTTTTCCAGGTACAAGCTGGTGATGTTATAACAATTGATAAGGCTACGGGAAAGATAACAAAGCTAGGGCGCTCCTTCACACGTGCTCGTGATTATGATGCAACTGGGCCCCAGACTAGGTTAGTTTCTTTCTTATTTCTCTAGTGTCGTCCCAATTATCAGGCTATTAGTTGTGTAGACTTTTTTTTTTACCTTATTGCAGCTTGAGGGTCATTTCATTTAGTCTGTCAAATTATAACAAAAAAATGTTTGCTTCTGTTTTGGTGCAGCTTCTGAAGCTCAAGCAGAGCTTCCTCCCTCACCTAGCAGTTAAGATACATCCAAGGGTGAAAACAACCCTGCACCCGACAGGAAGACAGCAACCGGTACGGCTGCCCTGCCCTGTTTTCTTAGTCAAAAGGAAAAAGGGAATTGGTAGGCTTAAAGCACTCATAAAACTGCTGCAGAGGCCTTGGAACCTATTAATTAAGATTAGGTTCCAAGGCCTTGGCTCTAGACTGCACTCAGAAAACACAACACTCGAGCAAGACCCCGGCTAAGTGAATTTCATAATCTAGGAGCCAGATGAGCCAATTAGCAGCTACCTATGTATTGTTGTTTTGAAATGAATTTTAGACAAGTATTTAATAGTAAATACAGTAGAAGGTAAATGTTTTGAATAGTATTTTTCCTTGTGAAATGTTCATCATGCTCATATTCTATTTCCTTCAGGTTTGTTCAGTGTCCTGAAGGTGAACTTCAAAAGAGAAAGGAGGTTGTTCATACTGTTACACTACACGAGATTGATGTCATTAACAATCGTACACAGGGCTTTCTAGCACTGTTTTCTGGTAGGTTTTTTATATGTGCAGGTCACAGAATAACTTGCATGAATCATATATCTAATCTGTATGAATGATTGATATATATATATATATATATATATATATGTCGTACCTAGTAGCCAGAACGCACTTCTCAGCCTACTATCCAAGGCCCGATTTTCCTAATAAGCCAAGTTTTCCTGAATTAATATATTTTCTCTAATTTTTTTCTTATGAAATGATAAAGCTACCCATTTAATTATGTATGAGGTCAATTTTTTTTTATTGTAGTTAAAATTAACGTAGATATATGACCGAACCTAACCAACCCTACCTAACCTAACCTAACCTATCTTTATAGGTTAGGTTCGGTTAGGTAGCCGAAAAAGTTAGGTTAGGTAGTCGAAAAAACATTAATTCATGAAAACTTGGCTTATTAGGCAAATCGGGCCTTGCATAGTAGGCTGAGAAGTGCGTTCTGGCTACTAGGTACGACATATATATATATAATATTATATATATATTAATATCTATCAGCTTCATAATAGTATGCTATATAAATATTTTCTTTTAGGTCATAACTACCAGTAGACATTATTTGTGCTTCTCACAAGAATTTCCGAGCTTAATTTTTCTACCACATCCAAGAGTAAAGTGATCCACTGAGCCTACTGAGGATCAGACGGTCGGGTAGGAATACACGTGGACACTGATGCCACAAGCACTATGGCATTCCTGCAGGGCCATTTTATTAAGGTACTTGGGAATCTCTTGATTAAGAATTGAACAAGCCAAGCTGTTATAACTTTAAATGGTGCTGAACTGGGCATGGGAAACCTGACAGACAAAAAATAGAAGGTCACAGTCAGAAGTGAGAAGGAAAGCTGGGGGAAGGCATTCCTAATCTGTATGAATCATCTACTCTGTAACCAGAAAATGAGTGCGTGAAGGCTCAAATGACAAATGCGACAAATGCATACACATAACAATTGAGGGGAAGTCTCATCATTTGATTCTCACATAAAATGCAACTACAGTAATACATGAATAGAGGTTTCTAAAAATAAAATGACTTGCAGGGGTGCCTAGTCAGCTTTGCTGTAATGGTTATGCTGGTTTACAGGCTACAAGCAGCAGTAGCCTGGATGATTTCAAGCTGGGGAAGATGGGAACTCCAATATCATATTAAGTGCTAGTTAAATACGGGGGAAAAACTGGTTATTGGTTATATTACCCACCAGTGCTTAATTTTACTTTGAATTTAAGTTTCATTATCATTGTTTTGTTTATTATTCCAGGTGACACTGGTGAGATTAAAGGTGAAGTAAGACAGCAAATTAATGCCAAGGTGGCTGAATGGAGAGAGGAAGGTAAAGCAGAGTTGGTTCCTGGCGTGCTCTTCGTTGATGAGGTGCGTATGTAATTTATTAAGACCATAATAAAGGCATAGAGCTGTAGTGAAAAAATTTCAAAGGGTTTAAGCCCAAAATTTTTAGATGACGAGAATAATTTGAGGAACTTCTCAATCCTTTGTGAATGGCATATTTTAAACGTTAGTTTCTCTTAGGACTGAACCTTTTTTTATTTATAAAAATAATATATACAGTATGTGTATGGCTGATAAAAATGTAGGATATGACATAAGCTAAAAGTTTAGACACAAATATTGTATACAAGTTATAGAAATAATAAAATGTTTGTTTATATATTTTTCAATGTTAGTGTGTTTAAACCATGTCATATCCTGCAGTGAATAGGCATTTCTTTTAAAAGCAGTTTTTGTCATTGAATGCATTTTCCTTAACAAGCCTTCATTTTTATTACTTTGATAAAGGATTTTTGTCATTTATCATACTTCTATGTTTTGTAATAGGCAACTTAAAATTATCATGCATATTATAGCTTTATATAATGATATGCACTATTTACAGGTTCATATGTTGGATATTGAATGTTTCTCATTCCTTAACCGTGCTCTGGAAGATGACATGGCGCCAGTAGTAATTGTAGCTACTAACCGCGGGATAACACGAATTAGAGGCACTCAGAACCTTTCTCCTCACGGCATCCCCATTGATATGCTGGACCGGATGATCATTATAAAAACATTGCCCTATCAGGAGAAGGAAATTAAGGAGATTTTAAAAATTCGGTATGTAAACATCTTGAATTTTTACAACAAGGAGTTGTAGTCGTATTACAATATGTACAATTTACATGGTATTGGCTTTATTTTGGGTACACAGCAGTGGCACTACATATTTTATAGTATTTACAATTGCATTTTTATTAACAAGAATATAAGGCGGTTTCTTCATGTGGCCACATCTCGTGAAATTTGTGAAGCTGTTGGATAAAATCAAGGTATTAATCAGAGGTGATGAAATTCTAGACAATATAGTATATGCTAAAATCATCTAGAGTTAATGTAAAAATGTTATACGATATTGAATATAGCAGGCAAAGCACTGTCAAATATAACTTATAAATCTAGATTAAACAGTATATAATTATAATTGATATGCTTTGGAAATAATGTACTGAAATTATACGCAAACTAAATTATAAATGTATAACAATTTATGAATATTCTTTGATATGATAGTTCTTTCTGTTAATAACATGAAATGCAAATGTCCATGAAACACTAGGAAGAAGACTGCATGTACAGATTCTTTAGTCAACTTTCTCGTGTATTTTAGATGTGAAGAAGAAGACTGTGAGATTCAAGATGATGCCTTGGTGGTTCTCACGAAAATAGGATTGGAAACATCTCTACGCTATGCTATTCAGTTGATTACGTTGGCTAATCTTGTAGCCATAAAGAGGAAGGAGAAGCAGGTACTGTACAGCATTGTATCTATCAGTTACTGAATATTAAGGAATCCTGCATGATTTAATTATCTCTGAAGTTAGAGCAGATAATAGGAGTGGTTAAAATTACAATTATTTTTTAATAAATGTACTTCAACTTGCATCGAAGTGTGATTTGCTCTCATATTAGTGATTGTAAATTTTCATAGAACTTCTTGCATTGGTTTCAGACCAACTCTTTTTAATTTCACTCATTAATATTTTATATTTATATATGGCTGTCATCCCATTCACTTGATGGGGGGGGAAGACACTTTCCTATGTAATTTGCCAACACTGCATTTTATTTAATTATAGTATATGGTGATGTTTCCTTTTTCTATGAGAGAAAAAAAGGAATTGTGCATTAATGATTGAGCAGTATAGAAATGCAGTCTGAAGCATGTGGTGTTCGGATAGGACCAATAGAAAAATTCCTGGAAATGCCGAGTGTAAAAGTTTAGCCATGTTAAATAGTTCATGCTAGTTGGGGGGTGGGGTTTAGGTTTGAAGATATGGTAGAAATGGTGGTGAGCAGACATGGTGAATGAAAACAAGTAGGAATTGAGGTAAATGGTGCATAAGTCATGGAAGCAGTTGGTAAAGGAGTGTTTTTTTTATATATACATATATAAATCATGAGCACTTGACACGCTAGTTTTATGGAGCAATAGAGTGAGTACTATTGTGGATGATTTGCTGGTGAGTGATAGTGCTAGTCTTTTGTGATGCTGTGTAGTATGATAGATATATTTTATGGGTTGGTATCACTATTGTATATCTTTATACATCTTGAACTAATTTTCCCTTACAATAATAATATATCTCCAAATGTAATCTACATTGAAAAATCCAGTTGCAAGAACTGTTATCTAGCTAGGTTTCATTGAGTAAGAATTTTGACACGTATATACAATGAGAATGGTAAAATGGGTTTTGTTTTTGTACAAGTACTGTACTGATATTACATTCTTCTCAGATAACAATTCCGGATGTGAAGAAAGTTTACCAGCTGTTCATTGATGAGCAGCGATCACAAAAGTTTCTTAAAGAATATGAGGATGAATTTATGTTTGATGAAGGTAAGTTGCAAAATATAACCAGATTTTCATGGAGTGATGTACAAGAGGTTGAGTGACATTGCTTAAATCTGTTGGTGGTTTTTCTTTTAACACTGGCCGAACTTTTTCAGTTTCCTGTTAAAAAGTTTAGTATCAGTATCACAGCCATGAATATCAAGATAGATTTACTATCAGTATAAATTAATTTTGTTTCCTGCAGTTAAAAGAAAGTGTATCTCATGTTTTCAGAACAGAATATATCTTCTTTCCAGTATGATTATGACTTGAGTTTCATGATTTCATAATGTTGACTTGATCATAGCAGTAACAAATCTCCCACCAACCCAATATTTTAATGGTTTATGAACTTGTGACCAAAGGCCTACAGAACACTGCTTAATTAGTTATAAGTATAAAAAAACTTATTATATGAAATAAGTAAAATAAATAATTTTAAATTAAATGTTTTATGGGGTGGTGACAAACGAAACACACTATGTTGAAGTGACATTTATTTGGCATGCTTTTCAGGTACTGACAGTGCAATGGAAACGAGCTAATTGACAGAGTGAACTGAGAAAAATCAATTGTACAAGTTTAAAATTGAAGCAGAAACAAGAGTACTGACAATGATAACTGGCACATGTATCAACATCAGTTGTAGCCTGACCATCAACATTTTGGCATGGACCAAAGATTAAGAATTTCATTAAACCCACTATATATTAGCTAATTTCTTTTTCCTTTTAATGTAGTTTAATACACCTCACCCACCTAGTATAAGTCAATTAAGAGCCAGCACACAAGGCCCGTTCTGATGTATGTATAGTGTACTGTCAATATTTCAGATATGCTACACAAGAAAAAAAAAATAACTTGATCCATGTAGCATGGCACAAAAAAATTGTGGACCCCTATGTACTACAAAAATTGGTACATTTACACTTACTGTTAGTCAGAAGCAACAAGTGTGTATATTTACACCCACAAATTTTCATTAGCGGCCTCAAATTGGGTGCAGGCGGGTCACAATTTTTTCCATGCAATAGTTTGCATGTTTAGTGTAAATTTCCCATCTGTTTTATCAAACACCAGACTTCAAGGGAAAATGTAGCAGTAGCCTTATGGTTCATGTTTGTGATGTACCCACAACCCTCTTAAGCCCCTCTTCGTCTTGCCATATTCAAGGGTTGGATGCAGCAGAACTTTGCCAGTTTGTGTGAATACTTTGTCACTAATAATAATGTTGCACAGCACTGCATTATCAACCAAAATTTATTCAGTGTAATGTAACTAACTGAAAATACAATACCTTTTAGAAATAAATTGGAGATTCATCTTTAAGATTTATAGGACTAAGAAAATTTTTAATATGATTATATAAACTTTTTATACATAAACTATTCACTTTAAACAAAATTCAAAGCCGGAGAAATTTTTTTAAACAATTAATCCTACATAGTTTGTTTTACCTAAAAACTTTCAAGAATTTAGATTTCTCTTCAAATACTGTACAAATTCATAATCAAAATAAGGTCAAGAAAAACTTCCAATTCTAGAATTAGTATCTCTTTCAAAAATAGAAATTACTAATATTGGCCACATTACCCTAGATTCATCCAACACAAAAGGCTATGGTATGAATAGCATTTTAAACCTAAAAATGATAATATATATGATGCTGCCAATTACTGTACTATCTGAAGTGATTACAATTGTATTATTTGTAAGTGATAGACAAAATTCAGAGGCATAATACAATGTTATGTTCAGATGAAAAGATAAATAAAATATCTATTAAACCCAAGTAAATAACATTTTTGTCAACATAGTCTTTAGAGAAAAAATATTGAAGTCGTACGATGGATTTGAACCCACATACCTCAACGCTGCATGTTGCCTTCATGCATTGCATGAAAGTAGTACTTTTGGTGGAAATACTTTATAGCCCATCATGGTCCATTTCAGATATGCAGGTTCAATCTTGCCATATGAGGTCAGTATTTTCTTAAAATAAATCACGTAACTGATTTATTTCATTGTGCTTAAGTCTCGTATTTTTCGATACACTTTAAGTGCTAAACAAATGCTCAAGATTTCTCTAGGAACTTATTTCTTTGGTTGCCTGCTGAGCCAAATGTGATTTTTTTTTTTTTTTTTAAAACCATCAGTGGAAATGCTTTTTACAAGTGCCCCCGTGGCGCAGTGGTAAAACACTCGACACTTTGGTCTGGGTTCGTATCCTGGCCAGGGAGGATTGACTAGGTGCCAATCCTTAACTGCAGCCTTTGTTCACCCAGCAGTGAATGGGTACCTGGCTGTTTAAACGATTTGGTGGGTCACATTCTGGGGGAAAAATTAGGATTAAGGAGCTGCCCGAAATGCTATGCATGCTAGTGGCTTTACAAGACCGTAAGATCTCTTGTATATACTGTATATAAAAAAGAAATATCTAAACACTCGTCCCTATGTATGTGTCGACTATTTCACTTATGTGATAATGAGATTTAACAAGCTATCTTGTGTAGCTTCCGGGGAACAATGGCCCTGTTGCCTAGTCTCTGACCAGGCCTCCCGATTTGTCGTCTGGTCAACCGAGCCGTTGTACGCGCTATAGTTTATAATATAGCGAAAAGCAAATACAATTTTTTGATAGAATACAGCAATTACTTTCAAAATGGAAAACATGTTGACAATAAGATGTCGATAACTAATTTCTACTTTTTGCTATTTCCATTTGAGCCTCCATCATAAAAATGGCGTACATAATAAAATGATGTACGAATGGGATTACCATGCTTCACCACCTGTTTCTGCAGATAATTTTATTATATACAACACTTAAGTAAATCCTATAATACCTAAACACTTTTATAAATAGAATTCTAACAAACTACTTGAGGTGGTGTAGTAATGGTGAATGGCACCATCATGCCTTGTCTCCCGATTATACAAATTTATTTTTTCTAAACTTGCCAGAAGGGTGGAAATAAATAGTTAATTATACAACACTTAGATAAAACCACCTGTTTCTACAGATAATTTTATAATAGTTTATACAACTCTAAGTAAAATCTATAACAATTTAAAAAATACCATAAATTGTTAATTCAGGTACAGTACTCGACGCATCGGAACCGTCTTTGCACTACTCTACAAATATCTTTAAAGTGTCAAGACAAGACGATGACGCAAAGATGTTCTCCAGATATCACATGCCCACTGCAAATGTACAAAATTATAACTTAACCCATAAGTTATCCCCACCACAGATACCAAATTACCCAAAATGGTAGTCATTCCATAATGCAATGTACACTATATATAAAGTAATTATCAAAAGAAGGCACCAAGCCCATAAGACTACTATATACAGAACCATATGTATCACAATACATATGTGATACTTTTGACAATAGTCAAAAGTTTCTAAATATCAGTTAGGATGCAAGTACGAGTCGAGTGACGCCACGGGAATAATACTTGCCAAAACATTTTATTAAGCAGCGTGCAATTCAAATGGAACCTTGGGAAAGAATTATTTCTAATCCTAAAAATCAGGACATTCTATTTGTGGCATTATACTATAATTCCAATGTACTGTATATATGAGAGATTTGTATGTTCCGAAATGAAACTGACTTCAACATGTGGAAACTTAACCAACACAGCTCACTGTATGGTAACCATTTATGTGCATCAAAGTTGAACCATTCATTAAAGCACCGACATATCACATGAAACAAAGAGGATACACAAATAAAAAATAAATTCTAAATTTCCATAAACAATTATGTCATTAATATTTTTAATGATTTTGAAGTTTTACAAACATTTAGATGCATAGCAACTGCCTGTTATAAGTAGCTCCTATGAGTCAAATTTAACAATACCATAATCAAAATTTGCTGCATTACTACCCTTAGATTATTACACATGTTGTAAAATTCATCTTATTTGGTGCTTTGTTTAAATAACGAAGACCACAAAAAAAATTTATTATTATTAGTTCAGAGTATTTCAACTTTTAAATTTACAGAAAATGTTATATACCTATTTGTAAAAATAATGCAGAAAACAAAACGAAGCCTAGAGGAATAACTATGGTAGCAGAGACATTAAAAAAAAAAAAAAGTGCTAAATTGATTTTTGACTTGTTTGTGGCCTTGACTTTCAGCCCATTAAAATATTATGAGCAATATGGGATGATGCTGAACAGATCCAGCCCACCTAAGAATTGACCAGTCATGCCTGAATTTGTGAAAGGACAAACCATTTCACATTTTATAAAGCATTTTTGCTCTTCCCAATTCCCCCCCCCCCCCCCAAAAAAAAAAAAACTACTCAAAGAAGCCTTTCGAAATTTAAAACGATCTAAAACGGTGAGATTATTTGAATTGCAGCAACCATATTAAATTAGCAGTGTGATCTTGACCCGTGACACAACCCTAAAATATACAAGAGCTTCTTTGAATGGTAGTAATGGTACAGTTAAAGTTTCAAGTCAATCTAGATCAAATTATCATAATGTTTGGGTTAAGCTAAATGAATGACCGCAGGTGAAGCCTAGCCATAAATGGTCGAGGGAAGAAAAGTACATTGTAGGTAACCATAGCCAAGAACCTGCATGTTATTCTGTTTACATCATAAATATTTTGTCTCCATTCAGTAAGCTGTGGAGAAGATACATGCTATTACTGAGAAAAGAAAAGAAAAAAAATTGTATACTTGAAGGCGCTCTATATATATACATATATATAAACATTTTTTCTTCAAAAGTCAGATACTTGAGCCTGGCACACACACATCAACGCTGAACTCGCACAATTGTGCAAGTGAACGTGCCAACGCCTGCCAACTTCAGCTAGCTAGCTGATGATTCCATCTGATTAACACTTTCGCGCTCCGTGGAAACTCGCGGTTGACAGGGGGATAGTGGCCCCTCCGTGCGGGTAAGCGCGCGGTGACACCCAAATGTGTATACTCGTTCCAGCTTTCTCACCTTAATTTTTGTGCTACGTCGCTCGTTTTGGTATCATTGTGTTCGCAATTAAATTCTCTACAGGTGTGTATAAATATAATGTCCAAAAGCCTAGCGTGACTCCCAACAGCAAAGCGTAAAGTCAGCAAAAACGCACAAAATCAGTAACATGTGCATTCTCGTTCCATTTTTTTACCTTAATTCTCGTGCTACGTCACTCGTTTTGGTATCATTGTGTTCACAATTAAATTCCCTACAGATGTATATGAATAAAATGTACAAAAGGCTGGAGTGCCTCCCCGCAGAAAAGCCTAAAGTTACCCGTGAACGAGCACCATTTTGTACATTGCAACCTAATGTTCAACTCGTTCAATTTGATAACATCAAATTTCGTGCTACGTCGCTCGTTTTGGTATCAAATTGTTCACAATAAAAAGGCGAGTATTTTAAAACTATTCCCAGAATAATAGAGCAATAACTGGATTTTTAACAAATATTTAAATTCTGGACGCTCATCATCACAAATTTATTTATATCTTTCCAGTGTTCTGACATAAATATTTGTGTTACATCTTTCATTTTGGTATCAAATTGTTCGCAATAAAAAGGAGCGCATTTTAAAATTAGTCCCAAGATAATAGGACAATAAATAGAATTTTAACAAATATTTTAATATTCGGACCATAGGCCTATTTATAATATTTCAAGTGTTTGGACATCAAGTTTCATGTTATATCTTTGATTTTGGTATCAAATTGTGTGCAATCTAAAGGCGCTTATTTTAAAACCACTACCAGATTGATCTGATAAAATTTAAATTTTTAAAAAATATTTTAATGAGTGACTCAGTACTGCGTCATTGGAACACATTCAGTAGAAAAATGAGTGACTTTATAGTCAGTCTGTGGAACCTCAAAGTGTTAAGAATCCTTCCACAAACACTTCTGGCAGGAAATATTCCTAATTTTTAACTACATCTGTCGGTTTCTCAGGAAATATTTTTTAACCAAGACTTTTTGCCCTTGAACCATAGTACAAAAAGGCCTGGCCATCAAGACATGCTCGCTGTGTACCCTACCCAAAGCCTGTGTAACTCTAAGACAGGGGATGAATAAGGGCACCCTATAACCAAAACAGAAAGGTTAAAATTAAAACCAGCCAGAAATGAGTTAGATGTGACAGAAGTAACACTTGACAACTGTACTCCCCTGCATTTAGGCAATGTAGTGACCAACTACTGACCTGAAGGTGCCCAGCATTCACCTCCCGGCAGAGGTGGAAACAAATGGGTAGTCTCTTTCACCCTGATGCCCCTGTTCACCTAGCAATAAATAGGTACCTGGTAGTTAAGACAGCTGTTACGTGCTGCTTCCTGGGGATGTCTAACAAAAAGGAAGCCTGGCGAGGACCGGGTTACGGGAACGACAAGCCCCGAAATTCTCTTAAGATAACCTCAAGATAGCATAATCACCCACATCCTGGGACAAATTCCAAAAGTGCATGAATGTAGAAGTAAACTCAAATGATGAATAACCACTATTGAAGTCCTATATGAACCTGACAATTCTGGAGAACAGGTCAGTTCTCCCATTGAGACACATCCAGCAACTATGTATACATAATGAGAAGTGTTTAATAATGGCATAAAACACAGGTCACTTGGTATGTGCATTGGTCTTATCAGCCAACCTGCAGTACATATTGGACAGCCAAGAAGAATGTGAGGTGGATTGAGTTAGGGAACCCGTTTTCATGTTGGAGTTGTCACCTGGCAAGAGTTGGAGGGCAGCAGGTGGGAAGGCAATTAGTGATTAGTGAGAGCACTGTTTATTGATCCCTGTGAATGGCAAGCAGTGCTTGGAAGTGCATTTAATGTAATGGAATGTATATGAAGAACCCTTACAGATCAACCTAGGCTGGAATGAGTCTCCTGTATTTTCCTTTGCATCTGTATGACTCGACAGGGACACATGTATTATGGTTACTTATCCTGACTGTGTGTCCATGGGAACATTTGGTCCATGAAAAGGAAACAATTGTGTATTGCTCAGAAAACACTGATTACCATGTTGCATGCATCCTGTATATACAGTGTACTGTACTGTACATCATTTCTATTGACTCCACATCATGTATTAATTCTCATTCAGAATGGATGGATGACATACTGTATAATGTCCCAACTGGTTTGCCGAATCGAGCTGAAAAAGCCTTAGTACTGTACATCTTATTGTCCTATTACAATGCCGACTGATTTTCATGCAAAAATATTATTTAATGATCTATCATACCTTTTCGCTTCTTTCCTTTTCTTTTTCTTCTTTTTTATCTTTACTATATTGGATATGTTTAGGAAGGCTGATGTACTTCGCAGGCCTTTCCGACAGGACATGGTCTCCTACTGGTACACCTGATGAAATAATGTATGTTACACAAATAATATCCAAAAAAAGAGAACGGACATCCTACATGACCCACACTAATATTTAATACAAGCAACTCTTTTTTTTGAAAGCATATGTAAAGCCAAACCTGTACATATCAAACTAAAAAAAAAGTAAATAGGAAAAATATGGTTACATTCCAGAGCCCACCAAGGGAGGAGCTCATACCCTGGGGCCAGGTTCACGAAGCAGTTACGAAAGTACTTACGAACATGTACATCTTTCCTCAATCTTTGATGGCTTTGGTTATATTTATTAAACAGTTTACAAGCATGAAAACTTTCCAATCGACTGTTGTTAGCGTTATAAACGGCCTCCTGGTACTTCGGAGCTTATCAACTGTTAAATAATTGAAAACAAAGCCGCCAAAGATTGAGAAAAGATGTACAGGTTCGTAAGTACTTACGTAACTGCTTGGTGAATCTGGCCCCTGATTGCAATATAAATATCCCTTACACCAAAATGTTTGAAGATTTAATTTATATACAGATTATACTGTATATAAATTAAAAAAAAAAAAAAAAAAAAAACAGCGTTGAATGTAATGAAACGCCATTTTCTGGGTAAGCCCTGGAGGCTCCCTGGAGCTTATTAGCCACACTAGGCAGACCCCAACCAGGCAAATTAAAATAAAAACAAGAAAAACCCTGCAAAAGTACACCGTCCCCAGAGGCAACAGGAACCGGTCGCCGCGTAGGTAGCAGGTCGTGCAATACCTTGACGCCCTAACCAACACAATACTGGTTCAGGCGTCAAGGTCTGGTCTGGTCAAGTCAAGGTAAATTTATGGTCTGACGCCTAAATAAAAAATGAGAAAATGAACTTTGGAGAGTTAATTTTTCAATTACCCCCGACAGTGAAGAAAAACGTAAGAAATATTGAGAAGATTTGTGTTAGAA